GTGGAATTTCCCTTCTTTGACTATTCCATTTTTAAAAGTACTCCATAATAAATTGTCCTCAATATAATGCAGATTGGGTTTTGTCATGAAATTGATCAAGTCCGGCCTTGGCCCAAGGCAAGTAAGGCCACTGCCCTGGGCATCTGAATTTTAAGGGCCTCTAAAAACCCTAAAACAGTCCATCCCTTAAAAAAAAAATGCTAGGCAAGTCAAAGGGAAAACAAACCGCCTTCTTCTCCATTCCATATCAATCATCTTCCCCAAGAAAATCTTCCATCTTTTTTTTATCAATAACCTTATGTGATAAACTTGAAGAGAAGTAGAGATCAATACCAATCCGAAAATTCCTAAAAACTACCAGTTCCAATCCACCATCAAAGTTGAAAAAATTCAGACTAGAAATCTAATTATCTAACCACAGGTTCGGCCTCTTTGTCTTCGTCTTATGCTTGTAGTTATTTCTCTTTCTGTTGTCTTTGACAACTTCATATATTCATTTCTGAGTTGGGATAAGCCTTGTTTGGCACATATTTGATATTTTTCCCCAAAAATTATTTTCAACATCACATTCTATCGACAACAATTTTTCCCCACTTTTTAATCATACTTCTAAAAAAAAAAAAATCATTTCCACTTGGAAAAATATGTGCCAAACAAGCCTCTTATTCTCCTCTTTTTGGCCTCTATTTATTTGTAGTAGCATAAGTTTCACGTGGATGAAAACGTGATATACCCTGCTTTTATTTTCATTTCTAATAGCGCTGAGGCTTTATATCTGGGCATTGAATTGAGGCCTGGAAGTAAGAGTTTAAATTGACAATTTCTTAGTCAAAACAAGTTTGCTCCTCATTGATGCCGAGTGTAGCGTTGATTTTTCATGGGAAACCTCTAAATCATATGTTATTATTATTTTTTTTTTCACACATTGTTTCATTCCTTCTTATATGGCATGTGAGAAGGTTAAACCTTATACTAGTCTAATCTTTCGGGTGGTGATAAAAATTTTATTTTGCTATTCTGTCTTTTAAATTGTATAAAGTTTTCTTTCTAACATAAAAGTATTAATTATGTAAATATTTACATATTGTTACACTTGAAAAATAAATATTATGTTGAGGGTCCCATAATAATTAAATGTCTAGGACTTCTAAATTCTAAGGGCCGGCCTTGATAAAATAAAATTAGAGAGCGAAAGTAAATTATTTTCCGTCTTGGAAGAATTGATGGAAAAAAAAAAGTGACATGACTGTTGATGAAAAAGAAAGAAAAAAATTAGGTTTATGATTATAGTGTAACAATAAATTATTTTATGTGATAAATATATTAAAGCCCCGTTTATGTAATTTTACTTAAGGCAATTTAAGTTAATAACAAAAAAGGTAATTATATTCACACTACAATTTTTATATCTTTACACCACATTTTAATTGCAATTAAGCCCGTTTGGTCCCTATTTTTTCAAATAAAATGGGTGGAATAGTATTTTTTTGAAGAATAAGTGATTGAAAAAGTAGAAATTTTTTTCAATTTACATATAATATTATTTTATAGAAAATTGTGTGATTGAAAATAGGAGAGAGAAATTTTTTTTTAATTTAATGGGGCCAAATGGGGGCTAAGGTTTTTAATATTTGATCATTATAGCAATTATGTCCTAACAATTTTTCATGTCATTCTTTTCTCAAACTTTCCATCAATTAACATATTTTATATTTCATAACACTATTATATCCCAAAATTCATTGAAATGAGGTAAAATAATTTATTTTTCAATCATATTTTTAAAAATTAAATAAGTAAAAACCGCTAAAAAATATTTTTTCTGATATTAAAGCAAGAAAATAAAATATTTTGATATAAATTATTATCAAGGATATGATATACTAATTAATGGAATGTTGAATATAAGAATTTGATGAAAAAAGAAGTTAGGGTGTGTTTGATTGCACACATTTTCCATGGAAAATGGGTTTTTTCCACCTTATTTCCTACTTTCGTCTTGTTTGATTGACAATTTTTTCTAAGGAAAATATTTTCCTTCTTTTGGTCAGTGACCACATTTTCCTTGAAAGCAAGGAAAATATTTTCCTTGGGGGAAGGTGGATTTTATTTTTCATGGAATTTAACCTTTCCAAAAATTCTAGGTAACCAACCCACGTTAAATATCTCTCTCTCTCATCTCTACGTTAATATCTCTCTCTCTCATCTCTACCCACTTACAAATCACTACCCTCTCTCTCATCAATTCAATCGAGCCAAGAGGAAGAACTCGACGACTCTCTGCTTCTAGATCTGCCTCCGAGGAAATCACTACAAAAGGTTGGCAAAATATTAACCCTTAAACCCCAGTTCTAAGTGATTTTCTCGTGTAGCTCCAGAAATATAATTTTAAGTATATATGTTTGTAAGTTTTGTGGAAAAAAAAAAAAGTTGTGGACAGTGACCGCTTCTCGTAATTGTTTAAATTTCTGAATACATGCTAAGATTAGTTTTTTCATTCACAAGGTAGCTGATAAAAATTTAATTTTTCATCATATTAGTGGTTTGGGTTTTTCAATTTCTTGTAATTCGCCTTCTATTTCAATTAGCTTTTCAGGGTCAATTTTTTTCTCTTGCAAAATGTTCTTAATTTCTTTAAGTTTTGTAGGAAATGGTAACTCAGAAGACATCCGCTCCACTGCCTGAACGTCCTAACAAACCTGTCGACCAGAAATTCTAAGTAGGCGGTATTCATTTTCAATGTTTACAGTTTTTCTATAAACTGTAAGATAGAGGCTTTCGATTTCTAGGCTTATGTAAGAGTCAAGATGATTCAATTCCTCCTGTTGAAGGAATTACTTTATAAAATTCCATTATTTCTTTTCTACTAGGAAAGGTATCATTCTTATTTGGACATTCTTGTTAGTTTTGTAAAGTTCGATTTCTATATTTCAAGTTTAGTTCATGAATAAATAGACCGAATTGGGTCATTTATAAGAACGGTGACTTAATTTTCGATGCACCTTGTTAGCTCTTTATACATGGCTCGGTCTTGGCCTATTGTCCTAATTCAATATTTTCTTCTTCGATACTTTCTGCTTCACGGTTTCCAAAAAGGGTGTGAAATCGAACCAGAAGAAACTAAACGATTTTCATAAGGATTGTTGCACATAGAAAGCCCAAAAAGAGAGAGAGAGAGAGAGAGAGAGAGAGAGAGAGAGATCAAAGATAACGTGGCTACTAATTCTCAGTCGTATTCCATGTGATTATGTTGCTTAAATTTATCTTCCTATCTAACCAGTATGAGAATTAAAGAACATGATATCACTTATGAATTTTGGTCTGTTGGTATGGCCATCAGTGTGGTCGATGATTATTAGTAATGGAATTTCTGCAACATTGAAAGGATATGCTCACCTTTCTTCCGGTCTTGTTGCCTCGTTGGCCTTTTTGTTGGTGTGATCAACGATATTGTCGATGACGTCGATGTTAGGTAATTCACTGTTGGATTCAATCACAACAAGATGAGCAGCGCTTGTCGAAGGTGGTGGTAGTTGATTTGAGGTGCAGGTGGTGGTGATGTTGGGATGAAGGTGGTGCCGAGGCTATCAGTTATGTGGTTTTATTAGTTCCTCCTATTGTTATGTGATGAACGGTGAACAACAAATTTATCGAGAACCTTTCACAAAGTACCATGAGCATTTTTTAATTATTTTTCAAAAGAAGAAAAATAATGCCAATAATACTTACAAAAGTATCCAAGGCTTTAGTGAGTGAATTGGCCAGTCGATTCTTGGCTTGAACGTGATCAACAGGAAATATTTTACTCTGGTAGCATTTTAACACAGCCTTTTTAACCCATATACTTGCCTAATGTTCAATTTAGATTTATATTTGGGCGCACCTGAAGGATTGCTGAGTATGTTTTTAATTCTTACATGTAAAAATCTAGAACATCTAGATTTTATATGACCATTAGCATCCCAACAAAAGCACGTGGGAACAATTCTATATTTACCTAAACTCCCAGAAAAAAATTTGCCTTTTTTTGTCTTAAATTTTCTAACATATGTATAAATAGCAGTAGGGTAGACTTAGGCGTGTTTGCTATCACTATTTATTGAACTTGTGCGCATATGAGGCTTTTGACAAAAAATGAATTCATTTTGTGTGAGTGAGGGCATGTTCAAGACTAGATTTAAGTGAATAAACGTGTCACTCTTCAACGACGTTGACATATTTTAAGGCAGTTTGTATCATTTCTAGTTTATAATCATCTCACTGTGTTGGGGATAGTTATTTTATTGCTTAGAGTTTACTGTACCTACTATTAATCTCTGATTAGAGAGATAGTTGAAGATTTAGAAGTAGCTTAACAATTTATGTTCGTGGGTTTATGTTCTTGATTCTACTAACTGGGGGATTACTGTGGTGCGAATGAGTTAGGGAAGCATGAAATTGAAAAAATTGATTTTAAGAATTCTAATATAACCAGTTGACATTATGCTTGGAAGGTCATGCAATGAATTTCTATTATGATGTAGTTACAGTTAACTTTTTATTCTGTAATGCTTTTATGTTATTCTTTCTAAACAAATTTTTATTGAATTTTTATTTACCGTGGTAGTTTATAACATGGCTACAACAACGAATCAACGTCGATGCCGACGACAACATTTAGGTATATTTTGGATGATGGTCATGCAAGCGATTGTGATATATAACGAACTTAGGCGTCATGCACGACATCTTCCAAGAGCTTCTCATACAAATTGGAATTCTGAAAGAGAAATAACACTTACACGAATGTTTGGCACGAGTGATACAATAGGTCGTGATCTCCTTAGAATGAAAATAGGTACATTTCAAAGATTATGTGCTCATTTGCGATCTTATGGATTGGTTGACAGTAAATACGTTTGAATTGAGGAACAAGTCGCAATTTTTTTGAATACAGTCAGGCATGACCAACGTAATCGCGCTGGACGTTTTACTTTCTTTTGCTCTAGTCAAACAGTGAGCTTTTACTTTCACAGAGTCTTACACGCTTGTCTTGTACTGTATAGAGATGTTGTGATTAATGCCACTCCTCATAACTCACCATACGAAAAAGAAAATGTGCAGCCATGGTACTCCTTTTTTCAGGTTAGTGGTTTGTAGTTATTTCATCATATTAATTAAAACTTCAATATTCACATTTATTTTGAAAAGTATTATTTTTTAAAGGATGCCGTAGGAGCAATCGATGGTACACATATAGCTGCGTATGTGTCTTTAGAGGAGCAAGGTAAATATCGCAATAGAAAGCAAGTGATTTCCCAAAATGTTTTAGTAGCTTGCACATTTGATATGAAATTTACATACGTTCTTGCCAGTTGGGAGGGATCCGCACATGATGGTCGATTGTACGGAGTGCAATATTACGCCAAGGACATAAGCTAACAATTCCTGTTGGTAAGTTGTGTCACTATTTTGAAAACATTTCTTCCACACATAAGTTATAATAATTACCTAACTACCATCTTATGAACGACTCTTTCCTAGGTAAATATTACCTTGTTGACGCTGGCTTCCCATCGGTTTCGGGTTTTCTTGCACCATACCGTAGGACTCATTATCATCGTAGAGACATTGAAGGTCAACGTCCTGAAAGTAGTAAGGAGTTGTTCAATTTTTGACATTCATCTCTACGTAATTGAGCATACAATTGGTTTGCTGAAAAGAAGATTTGCATATTTGAGACATCAACCCTATCACGACATTGACACACAAGCAAAGATAGTCCTTGCCTGTTCTACCATTCACAACTTCTTAAGGATTGATGACGTTGAAGATGTTTGTGAGGAAAATGACTTAGATAGTAGTGATGATGAGGTTAACCCTACGCATGTTGATGTACCTGAAGATAAAACTCCAAATGCTCACATATCTTTCACAAATCAGGAAGTGTGGTCTAATAAGAGGAATGCGATTGCTGATTTAATGTTGACTAATTATCTTCCCAATCAGAATGCGGAAATTGATTTCGATTGAAATCTGATTTTTTTTTATTTATTTTTTATTTTTTATTTGTTTTCATTTCTATGTAATGGATATAAATTTACTAGACTTTCATATGTAGTAATTGCTTGAATTGAAGACGTATTGACATTAAGCAGATTTTTTTATTTTTTTCCCCATGTCCTATAATAGTTGACATAAGATTGCTAGAATTTTAAATATTGTAATTGGAATTGCTGTTATTGGAGACATTGTTGACATGCAATTTTCTTAAATGTTCTTATTTATTAGTTGACCATAAACAGTTAATCTTGCACTATACAATTCATGGAAAATATTCGACAAAGCTCTGCGACACCTTTTCGAGTTCCTAGACCAACCCTTCATTCAGATGTGGAGGAAATAAGCTAAACCCAAGCGGATCCTAATTCTAGTAATCTTCAAATACGTTGGAGTGATGCAATGAACGGTTGTATGATAACTGCACTACTACATCAAGTGTTGTCTAGTCACAAAAGAAGTGACAATGGCTTTTCATCATATCACGTGTCCAAAGCAATCGAGAGTGTGCACAATGGATGCGGAGTCATGGTGTCTGATAAGAATGTGAGGGCGCGATTGAAAACACTGAAAAAAGAATATGTTGAAGTTCGTTAGTTGTTAAGCATGAGTAGTTTTGGGTTAGATCCTCACACTGGACATGTCATAGCCGATGTACTAGCTTGGGAGGAGTTGTTGAAGGTACAAAATTCATTGACCAATGAAAGTATTATTCCTTAAATATTACTAATCTAATTTATTTTGCCCACTAACTAGCGTAAAACATATTTCACTCTTTTTCTTGTAGGGCAAACCAGAATTTGGAAAGTGGAGGACCAAACTTTGTTCTCGCTATGATGATTTGGAGGCTATCTTTGGAAATGATTCTGCTACAGGAGATCGTGTTGTAACCGGCAATGACATTTTATGCCCCGATCATGGTACGTACTAGATCGTACATAAAAGTTTATATTAGAGATTCTAACAAATTCTTATTTTATTATTTTTTTAGATGAAAATGTGCATGAAGTTGATGATCAAAATGAGGATACGGATCCAAGCCCCATTCGCGCTCCTAAGCGTAATGCCGAAGGAGGAACTAACAAAGTTCGCCGTCAACGTACCCAACCTAATGATGAGAGTCTCGTTGCCCTATCAAGCGTTGCCGAATCATCTAAAAAAATTGCTATTGCTATGGAGACTCAAGCAACATTAGATACGCTAAACCACATCAATTGGCAGTTGGTTCTAGAAAAATTACAAGGCATGAGATATATGGGGGAAAATGATAGAAAAGTGGACGATTGAAGAATGAGATATATGGGGGAAAATGAGGGAGGAATGGGATATATGGGGGGAAAGTGAGGGAATGAGTATAAAGAAAAATTAGAGGGAAGGGTTGAAATTTTTGGAGGGATTGGTTGAATTAGATAGAGAAATTTTGGAATTATAGATGATATTTCGTAAGTCAAATTTTTTTTTTCAATAAAATAAAATATTAAGCCAAATAAAATTGAATTAGTTTAAAAAGAAATTATTCACTGCATAGAAAAATGTATTTATTTATGGTTAAGGTCAACGTTATGAAAATCGACCCAATCATTGACTCGGAAAAAAAATGAAGGATCAACAGTCAAAAGATTTAACTGGAGTCGAATCGAATAGAACCAGATGCAATAAATACGTACAAAAATGATCAAATACTATGAAACCAACTAATTTTTTTAGTTTTCATATTAATAATTTAAAGTAAATTGCAAAACCCCCAAAATAAATGAAATTACAAAAATAGCGCCAAATCTTTGGAATCAGTTTTCAAGTCTTAAAAGAACTCGAATGGCCAAAATTCATCGTACGTCGCGACAAAGCAGCGTGTCATGTTCATCTCGTCGTTCTCTTTCCAAAATGGTATTATGGGCCCAAATCGGAGTTAGGATGCTCTATTTTTACTAGTACTTTTGTTTTCCCAATATGTCCTACGCCAAAATTGTAAACTTTTGAAACTTTCTTTGAATCAAGGCATTATAAATTGAGAATGATAAGGGTAAAGCGAAAAAGAATTCGAGAAAAATGCCAATCCCCAACTCTTGAAGCTTTGATGAAACTTTCTATTGAAGGAAAATTCCCAATTCTTTAAGCCTCGAGGGAACATTTGGTTGAAGTTCGACTACCCCTAAGTTGTAATTGCACACCAAATTACATTTTTAGAATGGGTGTTGTTCTTACGAATGAATACATGAGAACATTCAATTATTTAAATAGTGACTCAGATTAAAAGCCATAAATTGTATTAGAAAATTATTTACTCAAAACCAAAAAACGTGTTGCAATTGAAATTGACCTAAAATTCTCCAAAAATTGATAAGGTGATGTTGAGCTTAATGGTGCACTCGAATATCATTCGGGTTGCAATCAACCAATTGGAAGAAGTATTCAAGCAATTGATGAATTAGACGAAGTCGACAATGAATAAATAGACATATTTTTTATTCGAGCGTGCCTGATCCTTTCAAGGGACTATCTTAAATCTTGATTACTTGCAAGAATAAAGTGGAGCTGGTGGGGAAAATCCACCATCATTTTACAAGGCATTCAACGATGAAATACCAGAGGCTGCATTAAATGTTAGTTGGGAAATGTGTAATAAACTTGGTCATTTACAATGAACTTAGCAAGTTAATTTGTTTTTCTCTTGAAAAACCAGACAACGAAGGAAACTTTGCAAAAGTTGTTCCAACAAAAGAGGCAAGGAGCCATCCTCAAGGCCACCGAAGAACAAATCAGGGCCATGAGGCGCTCAGATTTTGGGTTCTAGCCATTCCAGTGCTCATTGAATATTTATAACAAACGGCCATTACAATCTAATCAATATGGACAACTCTACAAGGTGCATTCCAGCCAATACGAGCTGCTTCAAGGTTTTGATGTTGATGTTGCCATTTCACTGGCTAAAATCACCCATGTATGCAACTTCAAACAATCAGAATCTGTAACTTCTTTGCTTTGAAGTTAATGCCAAGAACAATCACAAATACCCTCTAGAAGGTAATCAATAAACTTACCTCTCAAATAACAATTTTCACCCATTTAGAATAGTATTATGATATATGTTTGAGAATTCAATCAAAAATGGACTAGTACCCCTCTTTTGTTGTTGGAGTATTTGAAGGTAGATAGATTGTCAAGATGCACATATTTATTAGCAAGTATTGGAAGCAATGACAAATATGACCCTTAAATTTATCTCTTACAAGTATTAGCAGCACATCTTCTTAATATTCCGAGGAAGGAAAAAGTGAAGCAAGGATAGTATTTCTTAAATGTACAAATAAATATAGCAGCAAATGGCTAAAGATGGTGCTGATAGGTGAAAAAGAAACAGGATCAATAGTCTACCATTTTCGATTCTAGATCAATGCTCATTGCAACATTGATGAATTCATTGTCTAAGAAAGGAACACGAAAAAACAATAACATAGAGATAGAACTAAAGAAATAAAACTAAAACTTCAACGGGGCGTCCAACACAAGATTGTCCAATACAATAAGTGGCGTCTAACAGAGCACATTGTGTCCAACATGAGTTCAGGGCAGCGCTCAGTACTTTTATATTGAAAGGACACAAAAAATACAAAAATTCAATCTTCATCCAACAGATTACAAGTGGCAACACTCAGGAGATTATGCTGGTTACTGATATGGCTCCAGCTGTTGTAATATCTCCAATTCCAAGTTTCTGATTCATCATTTGTCAAAATCACTCAATTTGCCAAATATAGATACTAAAAACACGATTTTACTAAATAACTAAATTTGTCAAACATAGATAAAAGAAACCCCACCTTTCAAATGAAGACTGGCCACATTCAAAGAAATTGAGTTGGCATACACTACTATCGTGTCTCTTGAACCAAAACATCACATAGCTTATTATCTGGCCTGGCCATTACTTCCTTTTCCCTAAACATGTCAAATGTTTCCTACATTCAGCCAACAATAAACTAAAAAACAGGAACTAAAAATGACAAGAATAATAATAGTACAATTTTCTCCTTCACTTGCACTTGTTGTGAAACCATCCATACTGTCACTGTTCTCAAATTGTGTATTTTCTTCTACATCATGCCTTTCAGAATCTACATCAAAGATCCTAGATTCAGCCAACCCACTTCTTTAGCCTTAATATCAGTACGAACTAAATTTTGGCTATCAAATTCTGAATTTATTTGAACAGGTTTCAGGGTCGATGGTGGTTGATCTTCTTGGAATGCAAGTTCCACCTACATATTATACTCTTCACTCTTTGATATTATTCCTTGTATGTTGGGGACATTTCTCTCTTTTGTTTTCACAACCGCCCAACAATCAAGTCTATCTCTAGCCTTGTTGGAAAACATGTGTAATATACTTGTTGAGCTTGTTTAGCAAATATAAACACATCATTTGTTTGTAATTTCTTCGTATGATAAAGCTCGACAAGACTAAATCGTCGATGGACTCTAACTCCACCATTGACGTCAAACCAATCACACTTAAATAAGGTTACCTTGTTTCCAACATCTCCTAAATAATCCAATTCCAATATTTCAGTTAACATACCATAGTAGTCAGGCTTATAGTCATTATGACAACTTCCAAGTACTGACACACCACTATTCATTGTTGTTTTGTGGGAACCATAACCTAAAGTGTGAAACTTAAAAAACAATGACAAAATATCCATTATAACAATTTACTCTACGAGAGGGACCTATAGCCAAAGCCTTTATGCGATTATCAACTTTATTATGATCGTCCAAAACTTGAAAAAAAGAAACAATATGCATTAGAACTCATTTTACAAGATACTTTTTTGGGTTAACTGAGACATTACTTATAAAATCACTTACACATTCCTTTAATCAACAAGAAAAATGTTCTTCCCGTAAACCATCAAATCGTGTATCAGACATTTGGGGATGCGACATTCTCATATATTTATCGAACACCCTACATGTGCCATGACAAATTGTAAACGTTGCTAAGCAAGCATACAGTTTAATATATACGTTACAAATGTAATTATAACAGCTTATGCCATAAAGGGGTTACTTCCTCATAATTGAAGAGCACATACATTGTCACTACTATGAATTCCTCATTCGTCATTAATATGCTATCATGACGTTGAGTGCCAAGGGGTCGTCCAGGGAGGGTAAAAATTGATAGTCTCCCTTAGGGATCAATAAGACCTCCGTCATCATTTCTCAACGCACGATTCAATCTTGTTTGAATATTTTGATCAAAATACAGAAAACAAACATTTGACATTTCCTCTACTAAGTAAGCTCCACAATAGATGTCTCAACATGAACTCGATTATTCACTTTCTTTTTTAAGTGGTACCATTCAAACTATACAATGTAAATTAAATATTGAAGCATGTGCTACCTCTCAAAAGGATATATCCAACAATACTGCACGGGACCTCCAACCTTCGGTTCATATGCTAAATGAACAGGTAAATGCATTGAATCAAAAATTCCTGATGGAAAAATCTTTTCAAGCTTGCATAATGTCACAATGTTTTTTTCCAATTGCTCCATATCTTTCATCGTCAAAACAGTAAAGCATATATCCCTAAAAAAATGGCTAAGTTCAGTTAAAGCTTCCCAAATTGGTATGGGTAACAAGTCTTTAAATGCAATCGGCGGCAATCTTTGCATAAAAATATGACAATCATGACTCTTCTTTCCATAGAACTCACATTAACCCTTAACACACCGTGAAATGTTTGATGCATAACTGTTAGGCATCTTAAATTCCTAATCCAATTGCACACTTCTCGCTTTTGTACATTAGTTACGCTGTAGGAGGCCTATGGCATGAATAGTTTTCCTCTTTCACCTTCATATATATAAAGCTCTGGACAATTGCAATAAAGCTCCAACTTCTTCCCGGCCTTGAAGTTATCTTTAGTTTTTCCTTTTATATCCATAACTGTGCTTGAATATATTTTCGAATACATTCTTTTCAATGTGCATCACATCTAAATTGTGCCTTATGAGATTTTTATTGCAATAAGGAAATTCCAAGAATATGCTTCTCTTCATCCAATTATGGCTATGACCAAAACTTTCTATTTCTTTTCTCTTATCAGCTCTGCCAATGCGTGGGAGGTTCTCCACTATAATTCGCAACTCTTCACCAGTTAACTTATGTTGTGCCATATTTTTCTCAACTCTACCTTTGTAAAACTTGTCTCTTTGTTTTCTAAATGTGGTCGGGTGGTAGAAATTGACGATGACAATAAAAAAAAGATGTTTTCC